CCCACGGTTGGGTGGGTGCCCTCTGCCTGGGTAGGCACCCCATGGCTGGGTGGGTGCCCCATAACCTGGGTAGGTGCCCCATGGTCCGGTGGGTGCCTCGTGGCATGTCCCATATCTGAGATGGTGTCCCATGGTCTATTCCCCATGGCAAGGTGGGTGCCATCTGCCTGAGAGGACACCCCATGCCTCTGTGAGTGCCCCACGACTGTGCCAGTGCTACATGGCTGAGCACCCCCCCCAGATGTGTGGGTGCCTCGTGTCTGGGTACGTGCCCACGGCTGGTGCATGCCCTGTGACTGCACACAGCATGGGACACTGTAGCCCAGCTCATGCCCCATGGCAGTGCCCTGGCACCCCCAGGAAAGGCTCCTGGGGCACGTGCTGCTCACAGCTCTGTGCCTACAGTCCCTGGCCCATCCTCCTGTGCTTCCTCCACCACCCTCGTCCGGGATGCAGCTCCTTGGAGAAGGCACGTGTGGCTCCACAAGGGATTTCTGTTCCCCAAAGGGGAAAAGTTCCCAGAAGTTCCTCAGCTGCCAGGTTTGAAACCGAAGCCCAATCATGGCTCCTTTCTGCCAAGTGTCTCTCCCATCCCAGCCGCCAGCCAGGGCACCAGTGTCCCAGCTGGGCTGCGATCTCCCAAGGTGAAGGGTGCCCAGTTTGGGGTCTGTGGGAAGTGCCTGTGTCCCCACGTGTCACTGGCACTCTCAGCACTCCCCGTGGTACAGAAGGGTCCCCTCCCGAGCTGGTGGGGACTGGGTCCATGCCCACACTGGCCTCCTTCCCCAGCCAGGCCCCCATGACAGAGGTGTGCCAGGGGACAGCAAGGAGGCACCAGGTGCCACGGAGGAGGGGACAGCGGGTGGAGATCCCTGACCCAGGCTGAGCCCTGCCACACAGCCCTGTCCTTGAGCCCTGCGCCCTGCAGGACAGGATGGAGGCAGGGTCCTGAGCCCAGTGGGCACTGCTGCCTGCACTGCTGCCTGCTATGGCAGGGGGTGAAGCTGCAGGGCTGTGCTGAGCTCACGGGGCAGCTCTGCCAGTTGGCAGCTTTATGCCAAGTCACACCCCACAAACACCCTTGTGCTGAGACCACCGACTCATTATTCCCATTGCTGCTACTGGTGTTGCTGCCAGGTCCAGGTGTGTGCCCCTGGCACACGCAGCTCCCTCCAGACTCACCCAGGAGCAGCTGGACACCAAGATGCTCGTTCAGCTCAGACTGGAACCAGGCACCTCCTCGGTGTTTGCTGCTGCCCACGGCAGAGCTGGGAGGGATGGAGGGTGGCATCAGCCCCAAAGCCTCCGCCTGGCACTGCCGGTGGCACCGCTTGTGCCCACAGCAGGGCCATGGCTCCTTTCCTCCTGGTGGGTGCTGGGAAGGCGCTGGCACCTTGCCCGGGCACACATACTGGGGGTTCAAACGCCTTGCCTGTGCTGGGATGGGTGCGGGCAGGGCCCTGCCCTCAGCCTTGCCAAGGGGCCTCCCGTTTGCCACCCACAGCTGGTTGCAAACAGGATGCCAGCCTGATATTGACTGCCACTGAGTCATCTTGAAACTGTCAGCTAAAGTGGCACCAGCAGCTCCCCAGTGCTGCCAAGCCCCGGGGGGCTTGTCCTGGCCGGACTCTCCTTTGCCAAAAGGGGAAAGGGGCACGTGTGTGCCTCGGCGGTGTCTGCCCAGGGAGCTGCCTCCTGTGACCAGGCTCAGCCCTGCCCTTGTCCTGATCTGGCCACGCACTCGGTTGTTTTCTTTGCTACATTGCTGTCTGGACACCAGTTCTCCCTAAAAGTCCTGGTGGGGAAAAAGAGATGGGGAAACTGAGGCAGAGGCGGGGAGGGGAGCCCCAAAGCGTGCAGCGTTGTCCCTGGGGCTGGCAGGGGCATGCCCTGGCACACACAGAGCTGAGAGTGGTCCTCTGGTGGTCCTGGGCTGCTCGAGTACCCCTGTGGATGTGAGGGACTGGGCAGCCGGACACAGCACCATGGGTGTAGCAGGGCTCTGTGGTTTCAGTGCTACCCTGGGAGCCCTCAGAGACCAACTGCAGCTTTGGGGCTGGGTGTTTTTTCCTCCTCAGCCATGTCCCCTGTTTCCTGTTATCTTTTCTCAGCCCCTTTCTGCATCTCTTCCCCCGTGTGATTGAGAGCCCAGATAAGGGGCACTGCGCAGCCCCCGGGGCACGGTTTCCAGCCTGGCCTGCCCCGGCCCTGCCAGCTGTGGCAGTGCTCCCTGCCAGCTGTGGGCAGTGCTCCCTGCCTGGCAGCGCTGCCAGCTCACCCCCACACAGCCCTGGGGACCAGGGCCAGGGCAGCACCGGGGACAGCATCGCTCAGGACGTTTCCACGGGGGATGCAGGGTGGGTGGTGGAGCAGGGGGGATTGTCCCCAGCACCGGTAGCTGTCACCTCCGGGTGCTGCCCCAGGACAGCCCAGCAGCAAGGACAATACTCCAGGGGGTACTTGCAGCCGGTGGGTCCAGTCACCCTGATCCCCACGGCCTGAGGACACGGCAGCGTGGTGCCAGAGGCTCTGAGCCAGCCTGGGAGCCAGGGCCAGCTCTGCTGAAGTGGGCTGGGCAGAAGTGCCCAGCGGCAGGGACCATCGGGTAGTGCCAGAGGCACCAGCGCAGAGCAAGGAGCTTTGTGTGAGTGGGTGCTGCCACCTGGAGATGAGATGACCCCAGGCAAAGAAAGGAGGTTGGTCACCTTGCAGAGTGCCTGGAAAGGTGCTCAGGGCCCCGGGACCATGGAAGAGATGGGCCACCAGGTCCTTAGGGCTTCAGGGCCCGAGGTCCACGGAGCAGACGCACTGGATCCTCAGGGCTGTGCCGCCCCATGGCATGGTGCTGGGTCTGTCTCTTGCTGGGCCCTCATGGGGTTTTGTGGTCCCACCAAGCAGAAGAGGAGCTGCCAAAGCTCACCAAGTCCCACCCGGGGGCAGCAGGAGGGAGGGAGTCAGGGAACTGAGACAAAGGCTTTGAGCTCTTGTCACCCATGGCCCCAACTGTGACCCTCTCTGCTGCACCCCGTTGAGCTGGGACCTGCTCTGCCGCAGGGCATCTGGGGGCATTTATCCTGCAGGCAGGGGACAACCTGTGTGCAGTCCCTTCAGGGAGCCCAGGATGTGCACATCTCTCCTTC